TTCCACCCATTTTTGCTCCTTAAATATTAACAGACAAGGAAGAAGATAGAAATTACATTTCCCACCAATAACAGGCTTTAGTTACTTCTCTTCGTTGGTGGGTGGGGGAGGGTTGGGACTTGGGATGGTCGGAGAGGAGAGATGGTTGGGTCGGGGCGATTTGAGCGAGAGAGACGGAGAGAGCAGTAGGGACACAGTGGGCTACTGGACTTGCCTTTAGCTTTAGGGTTTTCTTTTTAAATAGTTTTTTTTTGGGTCGGGTTGGATCGGTTTCTATCGGGTTTGGGTTGTTAACCCACAACCCGACCCAATTACCCACCCCGAAACCCGAAACCCACCCAAATAATGTAAAAAACCGACCCAAACCAGTCGGTTTGGGGTCGGGTTGAGTCGATCAGTTTGGTTTGGGTTTTGCCCCCTCCTAGGTCCAAGTATGGAAATGTCCTTTTGATCATAGAAAAGTACAGTCCAAAGAGTGACCTCAGTAAAAACTCATTCAAACTTATTAGTTATCTATAATTACAAACTGTATAATAAATGAGCTTTACATTCTTGACAATTTACATATTATAAAGAAAGATATGCCTTCATTGAACTAAAGAAATTGATTTATTTATTCTATTAAAACCTAGGTCAAAATCTAGTTGAGCTTCCTTGCTTATGAGAAACAATCGAAATGCTCCATCACTAAAATTAGCTTGAGTCTCTCATAAGACAGAGATCTTAGATTCAAATACAGAGAATTCGACAGAAATTCATGAAATGTGAGATGGATAGGCTTTTCCAGAGTTGACTGTAAGAGAATGGTCGAACACGAGGCTCGGGTCATTACAAACAGGTATGGGGTGTGTTAAGCACCAAATTCATATAAAAAAACGTGTCACTTCTCAACCAATTCAAACTTTTACACAAGATGGTGGTTCAATAAATTATTTGAACCATAATTCAGCTACTTAACCAGATTAATTTGACTATCTGATGAATGCAATAACTAATGGCCTATGAATCATCAGTTTAATTTGGTAGGCACGTGAAAGCATTTCTACCTAATGCATTAAATGTTAATGTGTTGGAGTACAGGTAGGTGTTGGGGACAATTTATACTGTAATGGCGACTATAGAACTAGCATATAAACCCCTCTTGCATGATATTCTTAATGCATTCAACATATATTCCTCAGACAGTTAATAAAATTAAGACTGCAAATATGAGAGTTGGTGGGGTGTTTTTTCTTTGTTTCTATATTGTTTTAGTGGGTGCTGTTCTTGCTAGAAATTTGGATGATGAAGAGAAATTTCTGTTTGGCAAGGGAGGTTGGTTTAGTCACAAATTTGGCCCAGGCGGCGGTTGGTTCCCTCCAGGTGGCTTGTTCCCTGGACGTGGTTTGTTCCCTCCCGGTGGCTTGTTCCCTGGTGGCGGTCTTGGCCCGCGTGCTGATGTTTTGTTTCCCGGTGGTCGTCACTGATTCTCTCGTGTCAAACCGTTTATTAGAATTATTCGTACCAGTATGAATTCCTAATTCATAATAAATTATTTCTTTAGCTACTAATGATCTCTGAGTCCTCCATCCTAAGATCCTTTGATTAGTTTTCATAATGCAGATTCTAATCCTAAATAATTGCTAACACAATCAACGAATTCAGATTGAACAGTCTACCAATGGTCAAAGTAGCCCATGAATTGATCCACTTTAAAGATAAAAACTTGACTTATAACGTACAAATGTGATCAACACCATCCAATCAATTAGATAACAAACGCAGCGTAAAACAAGGAAATCAAGTGAAAACTTTAAAAAATATCAAAATTGGAATCTACCGGAGAATGAAAAAATAAACTCGTGAAATTTATTAATGGTTAAGATGCTCAAAAATGAAGAATTAACCCTTTATTTATAAGGTTCAATGTGAAAACTTAGTTTAAAAGAACTAAAATCGAAAAGAACTTGAAATAAACTAAATGACAAAAATAACATAAAACTTTAAAAACAGTTTTCGAGTCCTAAACTAATTCGGATGGCTAAAATCCATTATATGTTACAGCCGAACAATGAGTTCAATCCGGTTATGCATCCAAATTGAAGCTCAAACGTCAAATCTACATTTTACTGTTTTTCTCTTTTTCGGTGCAACTGTTCTTCAACCATTCAATCATCTGTTTTACATCAATAATCCATCAATTAATCATTTTAATGTGAAATTGGAGGGGTAGAAAAAACCATTTTCCTAATATGATGCATTAGTCCAATTCATATTATACGGTTGTTTTTTTCAATATTATTAAGATTAACTTTTATGAGGCAGCAAATAATTTGTAAATAAGAATTATCAGATATGAAATTCGACATATTTTTGTTAATAAAAACATTTACTTTTTCATCCTTATATTATTTTTGAACTTTAAGGTTTCAATAAAATATTAATTTTGTTAATGAAAAAGATAGTATGTTTGGGAGTAGTTTATAATTTAAATTATAAATGGGTAAAATTGAGTTGAAAATATCAACTTGCCATAGGCAACCTACTTACCAAGTATGAAGAGAAGCGGAGACATAATCTACTACTAATTCAATTTCTTTCCACGTAAATATGTAAAGAAATCAATTTTAATCCAAAATATTCAAATTAAAATGGAAAAGAAGAACTAAAACCCTAAACCCCTTGAGAGAGTATTTTGCGTTTTAGTTTTTGTTAGTCTCGAGTGCAAAAATATTGTTATTCACGACTAAGAAGTATTAGATATTCTCTTTAGGAAATAATTTAATTTCTCATTTTCTTCTCATTTGTGGGAATATCGAGAGTGGTCGAGGTTCAACAAAATGAAAGATTATGCCAAATTTCTTATTTTATGGGAATACTGCGGACTGGTCGAGGTTCAACAAAATGAAAGATTATGATGAATGCTTAAGACTTTTACCTACTTGCTAAAGATTCAGTAATTTGATACTTCTCATAGCTAGTGATTCTTATAAGTAAATTATATTTTTACTTTTGATAATAAAAAAAACTATGCAAAAGGGGGGTATTGAATAATTGATAGTTGTCATGAACAAATTGCTGAACTCGCTTTAGAGCATATACAGAGGGTGAAGTATTCATGCACATGTCTTTAGCTCTTCTTTCGTAAAGATTTTTTGTGAGGGTGCTGGACTTGGTGGCGACGGTTCTGGACGTTTTGGTGGCGGCACTAGAGGCGACGGTTCTGGACGTTTTGGTGGCAACCTTAAAATACATGGTGGTTATGGTGGCAGAATTCGAAAGGACGATGAATTTGGGAGAATTGGACATTACTTAGCCCCTATTTGACAATTATTATTTTAAAACTTTAATTTCTGTCTCCAAAATATGTAAAGAAATCGAGTTAAATAAGGCAATTTCCAAATTAAATGGAAAAGAAAAAGAAAAATTATTTTGCAAGGAGCAGGACCCAAAAACTCTCCATTGCTCAATCTTCTCTGCAGATTTTAAGATTTCTTTCTCGAAGAAGGTGAAAGAAATATTCGATTCTTTATTTATTTTCTGAAATAAGTGTATGATGTACAGAATCTTTTTGTTTTTGTTTGTGTTTTTATTATTATTATTTATTTATTTTTAATTTTAAAAAATGAATTTTAGATTTTCTTGTTTCTGAATATGAAAACTGATAGAAACTTTTACGTTCTTGAACTTTATGGATCTTCCTTTTGTTTGATTTTTGGGTTGTTAGATTGAAACAATGCCGGATTATCGAGGGCTGGTGGATGAGTTTGTTGCCAAGCTTAACAAACGGTGAGGAATTTTTATGAATTTTATTCATTTTAACGAAAATTGAATATTCCATACACTGAAATTTTATTATGTAATATGAACGAATAGCATTAATCACTTTTTGTATTTTTCTTGATTTTCTGGTGGCAGTAAAGTGGAGGGATCACAGGCAACTGCTCGGCTCACAGCAGAGTTGCTTCGTTCTGTGGTGTCGCTGCAAAAGCTGCCTTGCAAGAACCAGGCTTCGGTGCTCATCGAGTCTGTGAGGAGCGTAGGCGTGCAGTTAATTGCAGCAAATCCCATTGGTTAAAGCTTTCTTAAATGCCAGTTTGTGTAGTTACCTTAGGGTTTTAACCTTGCTTCTTTCCGGTGGTTTAGTTATTTGATAGTTCTAATAGCTAATAATTCTATGTCATTGCTGAATAATTATGTTTTTATTGATGTATCAATATGTAGCACTCAATGATCGAAATTCGGGTTTAAAAATTTCTTACATTAAAAGAATACTTTCCAAGATCTTATGTTTTCACTTACATTCTCCACTCCACTGTTAGACTTTATGGGAAGGTTTTTTTTGGAGGTCAAGGTTTTGAATCTAAAATCAAATCACTCCCTTAAACTAATTCAAATAGGTTGTGGGTCGTATGTTAATGAAAAACTATGCATATATTCTTCTGCAGAATCCATTTAAGCTTCATTTCATTATTTTCTTGTGTGGGAAGTGTAGTTTAGCAGGTTAAATTCTATTATAACGTCATTCAATATAATTTCTCTGGAATGTAAAGTCTAAAAGTAGTAGTTTGATATCGTTGAAGTTTATATTGTAGTTATATTGTAGGCAGTGACATAATTTAATTATGCCTTTCATATTAGAGAGATATGAAGCCACAAAATATGTGAGTCAGTACATTGTTTCAAGCTGAGATGATACTTATGAAAGTTCCTGCTTTAGGTAGTAATAGTATAGCATATGATTTGTTCTAAATTCCCTTTGTATTGCAAAATGTAAAGAATTTGTTGTGCATATAAATCTTTTCTTGTGGCTTATAGTATAACTATAATATTATAGTAGCATGACATTAGTTGAAATGCAGAGTTGGCTGTTGGGAATATTGTGAGACGTGTCCTGCATATAATTAGAGAGGAGGATGTTTCTATTCTGACTAGTAATACTGGGGATTTAAATTTATCGACTGAGAGTGGTGATGAAGAAATTGAGCAAGATAACAATCCATCGTCTTTTGCCGCTTCCATTGCTGATATTTATAGAAGTTCTTTATGTGCTCCATCATTACATGCCCTTCTAGAGGATGCGCCAAGCACCAAAGCCCCTTGTCGTATATACACTTCTGGGGTAGATTCTGAAGAGAAAGGTAAATCTACGTGCTCCCTCACTGTATATTCTTTTGAATCTTTAAGTTGCAATTGGTGCAACTGTGGTCTTTAAAGCAGTCCAACTCCTGATCTATTCTAAATATTATAATAATGGTATTTTACTGCAGATGATAAACATTCATTGAGCCGCAAGTTAAAGCATTTCGTTATTGAGGCAATCAAAACACTAATTGGAGATATTGATAGTTGTCATGATCAAATTGCTCAAGAGGCTGTAGAGCATATTCATCAAAAGTATCTTGTTTCCCCTACAAGTTAAATATGTGTTTTCATGAAATAGTTTACCTGCCACAATATATCTTGGTAATATTATAATGTTCCATGCTAAATGTTTTGTTAAATTGTGGTTGCTATATACCTAGCTTAAATTGTGTGTATCCAAATACAATGACTTTGGTTTTTCTTTTTCATCTTTTATTTAAAAGATTGTCGAAATATAATCTCTTGATGGATACAATTCCATGCTTCCATCTATAACAATTTGCTATTCATTTTGATCCCTCGTGATTGTTTTCTTGTTCAAGTACTCCAAATGGTGGACTTGCCAGAGGCTTTGAGGTTCTTGAATATGTGCAGTTGATAAAGATGCATCGATCTTTTATTTTTGACCAATACCTTTATCAGCTTTCGTCTTTTGATGACCATTGTTTGAATAGAAACCATAAGTTATGTTAAGAAGTATACTTTGTTTAGCGTATTGCATTGAGAATTAACTTTAGGAAGACTCTAGGAAGTATAATTTTTCAAGTTCAAAATATTAATATGGTTATATTGATATATTTTAGCAATTTCAAGCTTGTTCTTCGTATATGCTTTTCTGTTCTTTCAAAATTATTTACTTGGAACTAAATTTATTTTGGTCTTTCATCTGTTTCATTCATCTTTTCAATATTCATATTTGTATTAGCTTTTTAACTATGTTTTCAGTGAAGTAATATTGACATTTGGCCGCTCAAGAACTGTTCTCAAGTTTCTGCGTGCTGCAAAAGAGATAAAAGGATCATTCAAGGTTTTCATTGCAGAGGGTGCACCAAGGTCTGCAGTCTTTTGAGTATGATAATTTTACGTACTATTCCTACCTCAAATCACTTGATAGCAATTTAATTTATCATCAGATGCCAGGGGCATGTACTTGCAAAAGAACTGGCTGGACAGGGCTTAAAATCTACAGTAATTGGTGATGCTGCTGTTTTTGCAATTATTGCTCGAGTGAACCTGGTAAACTTACTTATTCGGCAGGATTATTCATAAAGAGTGAATATCTGAAGCCGTTGAATACTCTTAAATCAGAACTTTTGTTCAGGTTATAGTCGGAGTTCATGCGGTGATGGCCAATGGTGGAGTCATAGCACCTATCGGGATGCATATGGTTGCACTTGCAGCTCACAAGCACGCAATTCCATTTGTTGTGGTTGCTGGTATTCACAAAGTATGTCCGTCAAAAGAATTATTATTTTTTTATCATTGTAGGAGATGGTTGCACATATTCTTTTGACTTCATTGCAGCTTACATAGAAGAGTATATCCATGAAATGTATAATAAAGTATCAAAAAAGCTGCCCCCGGGCACATCCAAGTTGGCAAAGGATGGACATTGCTGGGCTTGCAACCTCAGAGTGGGGAGTTCGATTATTTACCTTCTTAATCACTTAGATTGACTCCGCGAGTCCAACAATTGACAAGGCTCATTTGGCTCATTATACGCTTATGTGGGATAACCGTAGACATTTATTGTCCAACTCGAGGATTTTTTTATACGAAAAAAAAATTGATTTTGGTAAATAATATCTATTTTGTGTTTTCTGGTCATGTACATTTTGTTTGACCACATGCTATGTTTAAAGGAGCCATATTGATTTATTGGACAGTTAATGTCCACAGCCAAACCACATAAGCATAACGTGAGCTAAATCAACTCGTTGTTAGATTTTGTGGATGAAATCAATTTCAGGGACTAACGGGGTAAGCATTATTAAGTGACTATATATTGATGTTTTAAACTTTAGGGACCATTTGCAAACCTGCATTAAGCTCAGCGAAGAACCAAGGTTTTAACACAGAATGTCCATAAGGTGAATGTTGCAGCAATGACTATGCAAAAATGGACGAATGGTCGAATAAGGTAAGAAATGATAATAGTGCCAACAAAGATAAATTAAGGGAATGACAACTCAGATGGTTAAGGTCATGTATTGCATGGACTCAAAGAGCTCCCTTCTATAAGTGTGACATAAAAAGCAGTACGAGTCAGAAAGGGGAGGGGGAGGTAGACTAAAATGCACATGGCCTATTGTAGTTGCCAAGGATCTTGTTGCTTTTTATATTCCAGCAGATCTAGCAATGAACCAAGAAAAATGATTCATGTAGCCAACACCGAAGTCATTGAGTAAGACAGTTTATTGTTTGTTTTCTTAGCTACTTGGATTATAAATAACCTCATGATTGAAGTATTGCATTTAAGATAGTCAGCTTAGTTTAGCAATCAATTGGCATATGCACTCTTACTGTTGTATTTTTCTTGTAGCTATGCCCATTGTACCCGCACAATCAAGAGGTATCACTGAATGAAATGAGAAGCCCATCTGAATTACTAGAATTTGGGAAATTCTCCAACTTCATGGATTATAGTACTGGAGTTGGGGCTCCTCCTCTTCATGTTGCAAATCCCACATTTGACTATGTGCCTCCAGAGCTTGTTAGCCTTCTCATCACTGATGTGTAAGGCCTCTTTGCATTACTGCAGCGAATACAGCATATTAACTACTTGACCTCACCTTTCCCATGTCTTGTGCAGTTTGTGCAATTTAATATGTAGCATCAACAATTTTCCAACAGCTTCATCAATCTTTTTTTCGTTTAATTATTTGACCTTGCAAAGGAACGCATTCAGTGTGTGTGGTAGGATGGAATGGAAACTTAAATTTACCATCTAATCCTATCTACAACTGTGCACCAAGCATGAACATTATGTATATCTCTAGTCTCTACAAAATGTATTTTTGTCATGTCATTTTCGTCCATATGGGTATTTTCTACAAAACTTTTCATTTTTTGCTTGTAGATAGATGTATTTATTTTGTGTTGTCCTTTTTAAATTGGGAGAAATTCATCCTTTAGGCAAAACATGAGTGATGAAATAGTAAAATAACTCTCTTAACAGTTTGGTTTATGGACTAATAAAGGTTTTGGTATTTACACTAATTTACACTGATCATCATCAACATCTGCAGAGGAGGACATAACCCGTCATATACGTATCGGCTAATTGCTGATTATTACTCTGCTGACGATTTTTGTCTTGCCAGAGAAGCATGATTCTTGAAGGTGACTTTCTTACTCGAAATATTAACCTTTTTCACATCTCGTGCATCCTTTTGGATAGTCTTCTCATGTGTGCATGGTATAGACATCTCCGTATTCATTTTAGGAGAAGACAAATCATACATCAATATCGTTTGTTATGGATTAATCTTTAATCCTATATTACCGAGAGCAATAAGAACACTACAAAAAATGAAAGCAAGATATACACATGAAGTGGTTCACTCTCAATGCCTGAGCTACGTCCACTCAAGGCCATTGCAGAATGGCACTATAAGAAGAGTATTACAATGTAATTCTAGACTCGCGCTCCTTTTTGTTTACTCTCTACTACGAAAAGAATGCTCACCCTAATACCTTTATATGGGAGGAAAAGTGTACAAACTATTAGGCTCCACATATCCAACATTGTCAGCCACTTGTCAAAGTGAAGGCGGGGGCTTTCAAGTAAATAAAGCATTCACACTCACAAGAACTCTTTAGGAGAAAAAATTTATTCTATTGAACAATGTGTTTTTGTTTTTCTTCATTTCTTTATCTTGAAATTGCGGGGGCTGTCTTTTTTTTTTTCGACTGCAAATTTTGGCCAATGTATTGATTGCCTGAAATCAATGTGAGATAGCATCATATGATGATTGAAATCGTGCTAAAATTCCATTCAATTTGCACTACAACTTTGGGAAATGAAATTTTCATCCTTGTCATTCTGATTTTTTCATAGGTACTGCAAAGAGGAGGAAATTCTAAAATTGGAAAATCGGCTGTGGACGTCAAATGTTGTAAAGAAACTGGTATGCCTCACCGAGAATGCCTATAGTATTCATGTTTAGTTAGTAGACATGAGAGTCGTTTATAGTTGAATTCCTGAAGCTGCAAGCCTGATTGCAGTCCAAAGTGATAGCCTGATTATGTGAATATTTTGAACCGGATGCTTTAGTTTGTCTATGAATGAATATTATTATACTTTGGCTAAATATAAGTATGGCGCTCCACAGTATGTGGTTCGTCTGTAATGAAGGATGAGGCCTTATGTGACATGACTTGAAACATGTTTCATTTCAAATTTTTTGGCACATACATAAAGTTGGAAAAGGAAACCTATATTTGTAAAATAATAAAACTACATGTACGTCATCTTTTACATTGTGCCACGTAGCAACACATCATTGTCAGTTTGAAAAATTAAACAATTTTCCTTTCAATCATCGTTTAACACTACATCAAATGTCAACAAAAGTGTACATTTAGCATTTTTCTTTGTAAAATTAAACACGCGACTTTCAACGATCTTCATCTTGGAGACTGATTATACAACCATTATGCAAGGTTGACGATCACTGATTTTCTAAAGCCTCTAATTGAAAACCTGCCTATAAAATATATTAAAGTCTATGTGCATGTGTATTTTTCAAATGTCTCGTATGACAAAAGAAAATTGAGAAAGAAAATACCACAAAAAATGAATAGAAATGGTGAAACCAATGAACGCAACGCGGAAATTATCCTCCAATTGCAATTTATTGAACAAAGGAATTAATTTGTCCATATGTATTTAAAATCGTAAAGTCTTGATTATAGCATATTGATTTGAATGATAAAGATGGCAAAAACATTATTTTCAAGACAACACATTTTTCGTACCATATCAAGACATTATTGGCACACAAAATACACTATTTTGTCACTATGTGGAATATTATGACAACCATCCACAACTATTCTTTTTTAATTTAATATGATTTTTTTTTTATAGTGCATAAAACAAATGTGAACAAATAGACTTTTACTTGTTTGACAATTTCGAAAAATTTGAAAATAAATTTAGATTCTGTATGAGCTCCTTTTTTGTAATAATATCTTCTAGAGAACGTGTGATTAAGAATAGGTAAAAATTTTGAATTTACGTGTAAAATTATTTTATTAGAAGAATGTGTGGTTGGAAATGAGTTTGAAAAATAAATGAATTTTTTTTTATAATGAGCTCAAAGAGGGACTTAAATTCAATAAATATTATAAAATCAATATTATTAAGACATATTTTAAAATGTTCGTTAGGATCGAAATTCATGATGTTTTTCCATCCTAATAAAATCTACTTTGTTTATTTTTTTGGCATAGTAACAAACATTTGTGTGTGCGTGTGTGTGAACAAGAAAGCCGCTTTAGGAAGCATTGTGGAGTTTTGCCTCTTTCCTTGGCCCTATCTATGTCCCCCTCCTGATGTTCTCCTAGTAAGTAAGCTATCAATCGTTATGTATGTATGTATGTATGTATGTGTGTGTGTGTGTGTTCAATATATAATTGTCGAAAAATACAATATTCAGCCATAGTATGTTGAATATTCAAAACGCGTTCAGCTGGATACATGAATTGAGATTGACAAATAGAAAATTAAAGGTGAAGTATTAAAATATGTGAAGTAACACAACAAAATCATATTAAAAATGGTAGAAAGGTTTATAAAGAGTTCGAAACCACAAATTGATTCAATCTTGCAATTAGCATTTCAATTAAAAAAAAAACTCCTATCGAATGTTTCAGCAGTATTATTCGATATAAGACGTATCTCAAAGAAATCAAATAACAAAATTTAAGCTTCGCTTATTTGGATAGCCTTACTTGGTATAATTAGCAACGTAGGCTAACATGACATCTTAAATCTCGCACACTCGATTTCTTGATATCATTCGTATTAAAAAAAAATCTTTTTATTTTTTCGACATTGATTGAAGTCATTTTTTTTTCTTGAACTCACCTCGATCATCTTTGCATTTAGGGACTAACCAATGTGTTAGTTTTGCAAGTCAAGACAAGACTCGCTACGTTGAGTCGGTACGAGATAAATGTTTTCATTATTTTGAAAAACGACAAACTTTCTTCTTGTATAAATCTCACCTTTCATTATGTCTAAATGTGTTGTTTAGGCCAATATGACGTAATCACGGATTAGGAACAATTGTCACAAGACACGTAAGTTGAGAATGACGTAGGCAAGAAAATAAGGTTGGGATCAATTTGCATAAATTGTGGTTTCCTTTTAAATATAACGCTACTAAATTGCAGGTTCGACCATTTGATTCAACTTAGGCTCGTTAAATAAGATTTTTTGAAAATTAAAAATTATTTTTTAATTCATGAAATTATTTTTGAATTTTTTAAAATAATTTTTAAAAGTATTTTATTTCATTAGAAAAAACTGACCCAAGAAATTCCTCTATAAAAAGCAGGAACATAAACTCAAATAGATTCTTAAAATATTACTTATAAGCCAAGTCCCATTATTTAAAAACTTATTTTCAATCACATATAATGTCCAATAAAATAAGTTCCTATTTGTCTCTCTTTAAAATAAAATAATTTGATTCTCATACTTATTTTTAATCACATATTCACGTAATACAATATTTTGCACGTAAACACAAATTCTTTCATACTTTTTAACTATAATTGTTCAAAAAATCACCATTCAAAACATCATTTCTTCCAAAATAATGACTATCGAACAGGGGCAATATTTACGCATAAATTCAAAAAAAATTCCCACTTTTTAATCATAATAAAATCTCCAAAAGTTACTATTATAAAATTTATTTTCCCAAAAAATGGAGTTCAAACCAATATTATCAGAACTAGCTCGATCGGGCGATTCAACCGTTAAAATCGGGAACCAAACTGGAAGTTAGGTACGATACCTATAAAATAAATGTATAAAAAACTCGTTCTAAAACCTGGTGATTCGATGGGTTCAACAAAACTCGGTGACCCGAACAACAAAAAAAGAGGAATAAAAAGAGTTGTTCGTCGCTAGCGTCTTTATCATGAAAAACCTCTGCAACGTTTTAGCATATAACACCCAAAAACGTGAAACATTAAAGAAGTAAAATCATATGAAGGCAAATGTGAAGAGGAGTCTATTGCAAATTTGAAGGAGCAGCCAACCGCATTCATTTTCTTTTGTTAAAGAGGATGGATGGAATTTGATAGGGATGAAAAAAAAAATCGTTTAATCCGATATCTACGGGCTCCGCTTCCAATGGGAAGGGGATTACCTACCCCAAAATAGGTACGAGATGGGTATGAAAAACATGATAAAACATCGATACTCGTTCCATGTAAAGTTAATTTCAAGTTTAAATTTTTTATCAAATAAAAATAAAAATAAAAGATTTATCCTCATTTTTAAAGAAAACGTAAGTTATTCTTAGCAAACTGAAAAAAATAATAATAATATTGACTAACTAAAAACATAAAAAAATATATAATAAAATGGGGCAACAAGGGGCAAGGGACCTACATCCGCCTCGTCTCGCTTTAACTAGGTATATGGGTGGAACAAGGGAACAAAAATATTTGATGGAGCGAAGGATGGGAATGTTCGACCACCCCATCGGCCCATACCCGCTCCGTGGATTATATTTTGAAGGTCAACCTTATTTTTGCCTAAATAGTTCGTTATATGCAGCCTATTAGTTTAACTATGTATTTATCGAACAATAGTCTATTTTTTATACTTTATTAATTTATTAAAAATTAATAGGTTGTAAGATATATTATTGTACTTATTTATTTCACAGTTACTAATAATTAATAAAAATATTATAAAATACATCTTAAAAACTATTAAAATTTTTAAATTTTAAATACTCTTATGCACATTTTTGTATTTATATAATAATTTTTTTAACCACTAGTTTGACTCCACTTTTATTCTGGTTGGACCTTTTAACGTTCTATCATTTAACTTTTCTAGATGTAGAAATTATATTCACACATTTTTTTTTAACTTTTCAATTCAAAAATAAAATTTAAAAGTATTTTATTCAAAAATCAAAAGATAATTTAGAATTTTAATATTAATAATAATATTATAAAATTAAATTAATTCACCCCACCCCAGTCCAATACCTAACCCTAATTTTCACTCCCAAACCTATCACTTTCCTTCTCTCTCTACCTCCCTTCTCTCTTTTCCTCTCTCTCTCCAACAACATCGACAATGAAGGCGAACAACCAGAGCATCCTTTGTCGGCACCAGAAATATAATAATATTTTGTTATTAATATATTTAATTAATAAAAAATATATATTTAATTAATTATTTTATAATTAAAATTTAATTAATATATGATTTTTGGAATAATAAAGTTTGTTTTTTAATTTTGAAATGAGTTATAATTCA